TGAGCCCTAAACCCTGCACCATACCTCCCAACCTCACCTCAAAACCTAATTTAAGAAAGAGAGAGAGATAAAGAGAGAGATAAAGAGAGTGATAAAGAGAGAGAGAGAGAGAGAGAGAGAGAGAGAGCAGGAGAGATAGAGAGAAAGAGCAGGAGAAAGAGAAAGAGAAGGAGAGAGAGAGGGAGAACACAAGCAAACATCAAATCACACAATAACATTAACAAATAAAGCGTAGGAAGGAAACACTGGCTCCTACGTGGGATGTGGGCTGAGGGACCCGAGATCCTACACCCATGACCCCAGCCACAAAGTCATAAGAACCTACGACACAGCAATGGCATGGCCATGGCGCGGTTATGGCAGAGCTACGGCACGGCCACGGCGTGCGTGTTTGAGTTGAGGAGTGGGTTTCTTCTGGGTTCCCCTTACCATCCCTTATGTTGGCATGGGCCCCTAAACCCTCTACCCTAAACCCCAAACCCCAAACCCCAAACCCTAAACCCCAAACCCTAAACCCCAAACCCTAAACCCCAAACCCTAAACCCTAACCCCAAACCCCAAACCCCAAACCCCAAACCCCAAACCCCAAACCCCAAACCCCAAACCCCAAACCCCAAACCCTAAACCCTAAACCCTAAACCCTAGAAAAAACCTGTGACAAGAAAGGTGGCTGCCCTTCTTGCAGCTGACCCTGGAGCGCTTCATCATGCCAAAGGTGCCGAAGTGGAAGGCCGGGCGTTTAGGGTTTAGGGTTTAGGGTTTAGGGGTTAGGGGTTAGGGGTTTAGGGTTTGGGGTTTGGGGTTAGGGTTTAGGGTTTAGGGTTTGGGGTTTCGGGTTTAGGGTTTCGGGTTTCGGGTTTCGGGTTTAGGGTTTAGGGTTAGGGTTTGGGGTTGAGGGTTGAGGGTTTCGGGTTTAGGGTTAAGGGTTTAGGGTTTCGGGTTTAGGGTTTGGGGTTTAGGATTTAGGGTTTAGGGTTTGGGGTTGAGGGTTGAGGGTTTAGGGTTTCGGGTTTCGGGTTTAGGGTTTGGGTTTGGGGGTTGAGGGTTGAGGGGTCCCACCGGCTGCGGTTTTGAAGCTCCTAGTCGCTGAGGAGGAATTTGCTTGGCTCAAAGACTGACATCCCAAGCCCACAAGCCTAAACCTTGTGTATGTATAACAGCTCCTTAATAGTGATTATAGTACCCCCGATCACAATCCCATCAAGGACCCTTCGTACAAGGGGAACCTCCCAACTTGAACCCCTTAAAGAAAGGAAGGGTTCCCCAAAAGGTTACGGATTTACCCTAAACCCTGAATCCTAAATCCTAAGTTCAAAACTCCTAACCCTGAACCCTAAACCCTAAGCCCTAAACCCCAAACCCCAAACCCTAAACCCTAAGCCCTACACCCTGAACCCTAAACCCTAAACTTAAACCCCAAACCCCAAACCCTAAACCCTAAACCCCAAAATTACTCCCTGAACCCGAAATCCTAAGCCCTCAACCCTAAACCATCCTGGTCCTAAACCCTTTTTGGGGGAGTCAACAACTGCACCAAGGCGGCGCAGCAGAAAGTGCTGAGCACCAAGGAGACCCTCAGCTTTCTGCAGGCCTCAACTTGGCGTGCTCGGGAATTGTGGTTCAGTTTCAGATCTTCCCATTGCAACATTAGGGTTTGGGGTTTAGGGTTTAGGGTTTAGGGTTTCGGGTTTAGGGTTTAGGGTTTGGGGTGGGGTTTAGGGTTTAGCGTTCTTAAGGGAGGGGGGCTCAAGGTTCCCTAATACCCCCTAAGGCACCCTAAGCTTCCCTAAGGTTTGCTAGGTACCTACCCCCCGTGAACCCCCCTCACGTAAGAACCCTATAGTTGGGCCCTCTACACGATTAGGAAGCAAAAGGACAAGACAGGAGGTTGGTTTTTGAGGATGCTTTGGGCCCCTAGACCCTAAAACCCGAAACCCCTAAACTCCTAAACCTAAACCCCGAAACCCCTAAAACCCTAAACCCTAAACCCGGTAAGAGCTGGGCATGCCGCGTCGAACTCCGCCTCCTTGGATTTCCGGTCGAGGGGGCCGCTGCGCTTTCTGAGAAATTTTATAGGGTTTAGGGTTTAGGGTTTAGGGTTTGGGGTTTAGGGTTTAGGGTTTAGGGTTTAGGGCTACTAAGACCCAGAGTAGGGCCTTATTCCCACTTTTTTAGGGTGAAGGTTCCCTTATAAGCCCCTTTGAACCAAAAAGGGCACCCATGTTATTCCTAGATTGCTGTTGACCCCTAGTTGTGGAAGATGCATCTGCAGGTTTAGGTCGCGAGGATGATTTCCTTTGCACGCACAAGAGGCAGTTTTGCATCAGCAGCATGCCTCCATTTAGTGACCGTGGCTTTGCGAGCAACATATATGAATGAATCAGGCAGAGGTTTTGTTTGTAGGCTGCTGACTTATCTTGCGCATTCGTGGGCTTATGTCGGTTGCCAAGCAGGCTGGGGAATAAACAGGTTCACACAGCTTCTGGGCAAGCCTACGCGCCAGAACTCGACCTAAAAGCCCTCAGCTTGTCAAGATATTTCAAAGTCTAGCACTTCCACGGAAGAAGTGAGCCCCCTGAACTCCGCTTAGCTCCGACACCTTCAGCCTTAAACCTCCTGAAGTACTGAGCCCTCCAAAGCCCAGGACCATCAAAGCCTGAACTTGCAACCCTCCTCACCACCCACCCCCCCCCCCCCAACCCCCAGAAAAAAGGCGACGAAGACAACACACACCTGTAAAAATATCTCTAAACCCTAAACCCTAAACTCGAAACCCTAAACCCGAAACCCTTAACCCTAAACCCTAAACCCTAAACCCTAAACCCTAAACCCTAAACCCTAAACCCTAAACCCTAAACCCTAAACCCTAAAGAAACGAAACATACGCAGCAAGCTGTGTCAGGCCGGCGGCTCCATGTCCCGCTTCGGCGATGGCGAGTACTGGCTCTTTGACCGAGCATGTTGGGGTCTGGGGTTTAGGGTTTAGGGCTAGGGTTTAGGGTTTGGGGTTTAGGGTTTAGGGTTTAGGGTTTAGGGTTTGGGGTTTAGGGTTTAGGGTTTTGGGTTTTGGGTCTAGGGTTTGGGATTTAGGGTTTAGGGTTTATGGGGTTCATAGGGTTCATAGGGCCCATAGGCTTTATCGGGTCTATGGGCTTTGTAGGGTTTATAGGGTTCATAGGGCGTTGTGGGGTTTTTAGGGTTTTCATAGTGTATAGGGTTAATCGGTTGTTTATAGGGTTGATAGTTTTTTTTTGGTTTGTAGGGTGTATATGTTTATCGGGTTTATGATTTTTGGTTTTGGTATCAGGGTTTAAGTGGTCTTGTTTTGGGTTGTAGGGTGTTGGGGTTTACAGGCTTCAGGGTTTAGGGTTTAGGGTGAACTTATCTTGGGACATTCAGGGTGCAGGGGCTAAAGGGCTTTGCAGCTTCTAGTTCTCAGCTTTTATAAGGCTGGGAGCTGATAAGTATTCGGACCCTGAGC